CTGTTAAATAATGCGATAATATTAGACAAGAAAGCTGCTAGTTTACGGATTTTCACATGGGGATGTAAAAAAAAAAAAAAAAAAAAAAAAAAAGATAAGTGTCATGGAATTAAACCAAATTTTAAAGGTAAGTGTCATGGAATGTAAATGAAAATAAAAACTATGCATGGAATAATGTGTTTTTTTACATATCATAGTAATCAGCTCAATATCTATTAATTACGCATTAGAAAAAATGTATAATTTTAATATTATTATGAGAAAGCAATTACTATTATGAGTTTAAATACTGCACAGCTTGAATCTAATCTCGAAGCTATGTATGTCTGTAGAAAAATAAATCAATATGAGACAAAAGCTGTGATTTAGATGCATCGGTTTAAAGATTATTATCAAGAAAAACAGTAATAAATCATTAGAATTCTGTTATATATAATGTGATAATATTAAAGAAAGTTGTTAGTTTACAGATTTTTCACATGAGGATGTAAAAACAAAGCCAAGAAACTTGTAAGAAAATGATTTAAGAACGTTTCATGAGTATGTTAATTCTGCTTTTCTAATGTATGGAGGGTATATTTAGTGGAATTAAACAACAAAGGTAAACAAAAAAAAATAATAATAATAATAATAATCAATGCAATTTAATTTACAAGTGAGGGTATATCAAACATGATATTTTTAAATAAAATTCAGCTCTTGGAATGAGCAGTTATATTTTAGCTTATTTCTATTGTTTGTGTAATTCAATTTTGTAAACTATATTTTTATACACATGCTAATATATTGCAAGTATGTATTTTAATGATACATATTTTATACTTTCATTCTTTCAAAACTGAATCATAATCTTATGCAAATATACCTGATTGCTATGCTAGCCAAATTGTCTTATAATTATTGCTATAGATATGGTGATTAGCGTAAGCAAATTGCTTACCCATCGCAGTAATGAATTTAAAAAAAATATCAGAAAAAGGAGCCATTGCAGTAATTGAATAAAAAATACCAGAAAATGGCTATGTAAAATTTTTTGCCTGAGCTCTCAAATAACTGCCTATAGTTTACAGTCAATGGCTCAAAATAATTATACTTAATGGTAAACATAGTTATAATTAATGGTTTGTATTCTAAATCCATATTGTAATACAGTCCTTTAACGTATTAACAATTTATGGTTCAACCATCCCTTGTTTCAACGTATTGCCAATTCATGATTCCATCTATTATCAAAAAATGTTCAGACAAAGTTTTGGTTGCATTTTTTTCAGTACCGTCGTTTGGTGAAACCTTGAACGAAATATTTTAACAGGTTAAATCTTAAAAATATATTGAGCTCTAAAAAGGGCATGTTTTGTTTAATTTTGTGTTTTGTAATATTTTTAATGAAAGAAATAAATGCTTTTATAATACTTTTCTACGTTACAATACTCAGACAAATGTGGGATGACATTGTATATTTCAACTGATAACCCATAACTATATGTCTACTGTAAATTTTTATCGTTTAAATTGATTTTTAAGCATTTGTTTCTGCAATTAATCAACACTTTATTGTTAAAGAATTTAATTATATTGGTGAATCACTAGGTAACAACTTATCTAATGATATATAATACAGTTGAAAGAAATTAACTAAGAAGTAAAAGTACTTAATGGCTCATAAGTCAAGTAGACAACAGAATCTAGTAATATAACTCTAGTAATTTGAGTACCTAGTCTAGGCAAATAATGCAATCCGTTTTATAAATCTAGTAATTTAAGTACAATAGACTTAGTCTATTGCACATAAAAAAGTACTTACTGCCTTGAAAATAAATTCTTATTAAAAGCAGCTGACTTTAAATCATTTTTGTTAAATAATTCAAAAATATAAATTAAGACTTAAAAAAGAAAATTAACAATTAGTTTAACAGCAATCTGTAGAAAATCATTTTTTATTTTCATTAAATTATCGTGATATTCTGAGGGTATACTCAGTTAAAAGTAAAAGCAAGGTTACATAAACATAACACAATGCATAATTTTTTTAATAACTTTGCTAATGAAATGTATTTATTGATTGCTCTTTGTAGAGAAAGAATTTAAAAAAAAACTGAAGAACCCTTGATATTACTTATCAAAATGAAAACTTTGTTAGAAATGACATACGTTTTCCACCGAACACTCGCCTAGCCTCCGATTTCGAAACCCCTACATTCCTACGCATGCGTAGTAGTGATACCTGTATTATTTAACCGTTAGGATGACTAAGCAGACATCCCAGACATCCAAAGTACGCATTGTTTTTCTGAATCAGCGCTGTGAAGTTGACGCTTCATATCATGGACTAAAGTGAACATCTTTCCAATTACTGCATAATTATTTGCATAAATTTTAAAACCTGTACTTTCCTTTGGTGCCAGTTATGCTTCAAGATTTCAGAGAGGAGCCTGGAATTAAATCTTTTCCTTTCAAATACAATCATCTTCAGCATACATTATTTTGTTGCTAAACAAAACAGTTTTACTTTGATATTTAAAAAGGCGTCTTCCTTTCCGCAGAATTTTTCCCTTAAAAATTTTTTATTCCACGAGGTGTTTCAATAAAATATTTGTTAAAGAAACACACAGCTTAGCATTCTAAAACAATTTATGCTTTTAATTATAATTAAATTATGGATTCATCATAGCAAATTATTTTTAATTATGCATTATTATTAACTTTAATTATGGATTCATCATAGCAAATTATGTATTTTTCAAGTTTTTATATCGTTATCACATTTTCGATTTGAAGGGGGAAAATATGAACAACCAACTATAATTTCGTTTACAATAAATCTTTTTTTTTTTTTTTTGGTTACATTTTGAAGAAAGAATTAATTAAAAAAATCTGAAATTTCTGATTAACAGCTTCCCTTGATTACAAGCATGGATTTTATCCTGAAAAACTTTTATTGTACATATTCGTATCAACAAACTATAAATTATTACAACAAATATTAAATTAAATTCAGAATTTAATAACATATTTCATTTGCCATTCAGTTGTTTTATTGTATTGCCCTGGTTACCGTGATAAGCAGAGAGTGAATGATTTTGAAAGAAAGTCTAATACCTGTATTAAAACCAAACATTAAATCTGATATGCATTTATAAAATTTAAAATTTCTGAGCTTTTAAATTAATCTTTATCTGATGCATAAAATATAGAATGACAGCATACACAAACACTGGTAATTAGCAGTAACTTTTCTTCTAATCCTCCGTCTTTTTTAAAACTTATATACATATTTTAATCAATGTATTATTCACGTTCAGTTTCCTTGTAAAATCTTCTTTGACTTTTGTCTATTTGCATATTTTCACATGTTTATCTCGGCAAAGTTGAAATTTTATTCCAAAAGTAACAAAGGCTATTTTGAACATTTCAGAAAACAAAAAATGCTTAATAAACATAAAAAAGGCAGAAGTTTAAAATTTATGTAGTTAAAAATAATTCTTCTCTATCTTTAGTACATTGAACAAAAATATTATATGCAGTTTTAATAATATGAAAGAAAAATTTTCAGAAGTATTTTTGGTGGCATAAAATGTAACAATATCTGGAGATGAAGAACTAACTTTGAACTCTATAAATCCTTTAAAGAAATAGATAGTTATATAAAAAATTTAAAAAATTCAGAGAATGGGCAGGACACCTGTGCGGAATGGATGAAAATCGAGTAACTAAAAAGATTTTCTCGGCCAGACCATTCGGCACCCGAAAAAGAGGGAGACCTAATCTTAGCTGGCTCGACTGTTTGGAAACAGGAATTCGATTCTGAGGAAGGCAGGGGCCCATCCTGGGCTGTCTGGCCATTGAAGAAGAAGTTTTAATAATATTATTTGTATTCTAGACTCTTTTACCTTTATAAATACTAATTAATAATACTGCTGATAATAACGCTAATAATAATTTTATTTTTAACTTTATAAATAATTTTGATTTTGAAAAATCTAATTTTTCAGTTGCAATATACAATGGCTTAAGAGTTATAGACGTCCTCATATTTGATATTCTTTAATTTATTTTATGTCACTTATCAGCCTAATTGTTAAAAGCTACATATTTCACTGGATAAAAAATTTCGTAATCAAAATAAAGCATAATGTTTTTCCAACATGAATGTATAAGTTTACTGCATAACAACGCTAAGAATGTGAAGACATTTTCAAGCATCTTTTTAGAAAGCCAAAATTTAAAAAGTGTAATTATGTGCAGTTACAATTTGTTACATATATGTAGCAAATGATTATGTTTTAATCTTTAAGTATTTCAGCAAACTTTTTATTTAAAAATAAAACTGACAAAACTATATATGTGTTCATGTACGCATATGTATATGTTTGTACATGTGTATGTGTGTGGGTACGCACACACATATATGCACATACATACATACATATACACATTCATATATACGTTACGTATGTTTCTGAATCCGCTCTCGCTAACAGAATTCTACCGTTATTTCATTCCTTATTTTCCTATATATGTTATATTAAAATACACAGTAGCGTTACGTGGTTTTCTCTTTAAACAAAGTTATGTGCATTGCAGCTTAAAATGCCAGGCAAATACTCTCTACGCAGTCAGAATCAGAAACATACCAAGCAATAAGTAAATACAAAAATGATGAACCAAAACAATACTTTTGGTTCAACGTTACGTATGTTTCTGAATCCGCTCTCGCTAACAGAATTCTACCGTTATTTCATTCCTTATTTTCCTATATATGTTATATTAAAATACATAGTAGCGTTACGTGGTTTTCTCTTTAAACAAAGTTATGTGCATTGCAGCTTAAAATGCCAGGCAAATACTATCTACGCAGTCAGAATCAGAAACATACCAAGCAATAAGTAAATACAAAAATGATGAACCAAAACAATACTTTTGGTTCATCAAAAAGCTTGAGAAGTAATTTTTGAAGATGTAACATTAAATCATAAACTGACATCTATACTTGTACTTACCTTAAGAGCCAAGATCACACGACACTTATTGCCAGGAGAAATAAGCAATTAACAACTACTTTACGAATACGCATCTAACTCACTGTATAAACAATGGTCATTGAAACTGTTCAGTGGCACATGCGCACATGACACTTGCGTACAAATCGAGAAGCTACGAAACTTGCGCGCAAGAAACATTCTTTGCTGTCCGCGGAAATCAACGCTTTCTCGATTATTTTTCGATAACTTGAAACGACTTAATTTGCTTTTCAAAATTTTAAGCTACTCGAGTGTACATATATAGATTTTAACGAAATGTTAATATTATGTATGTATACACGTGTAAAGAATGATAAATACTTTTTAAGGCTCAGGTGCATTTAAAATGTGAAAATAATCTCCAAAATTCAATACATTTTAAAGCTCAGTATCTTTATAACTGGTTAATGAGTCGGAAATTTGGTGTACTTATTTCGATATCCTCAATAATGTATTTTGTCCTTTTATTTAATATTCCGAATATTAAAAATATTTTAAGTACATTTTTGTGATCCACATAGTATTGTAATGAATACTGTAATAAATTGTATAAATTGTAATAAATAGGGATTCTAGCAGTATTATACAAAAAAAAAAAAAAAAAAAAAAAAAAAGAAGTTATTTAAGCCTTTTTTTTTTTTTTTTTTTTTTTTTCTTTTTCAAACAGGAAAAACCAATGCAGAGACAAGAAATTTCATTTTGACTGTGCATAAATAATAGATGTATTTTCGTTCAAAAATAACAAATATATTTTGTTAAAAATTATTTTTTGAAATCAATAATTTTTTGATATAATTAAGGATAATTTCTAAAATTTTCAGTCTTGAGGCATAGTAGTTGCTCATTATAAACTCACTTATGACTTAAACAGATTTTTTTTTTTTTTTTAATTCTGAGCAATGGTTTCGAAGTTAAATTACCTTCAAATTCTGTAAGTGCAAATTATTTTCTTAGTAAATAAATATAAGAATGTACTTATAAACTGGAGCTTGTGAACATGCATAATTATGTATTTAAACAATTTTGCATACAAAATTATCATAAATTTAATTGAGGCAAAGAAAAGTGAGATGTCGAAATTTTCATGATTTCAAGTTTTATTATAGTTCTAAAAGGTTTCAGATCAGAAGCATAACGGAAAGTACACTGTTAAAAATTTGGTTTAAGGTTTCACGAACTTATGGTACTGAAAAAGTTGCAGCCAAAAGATAAAGAAACATTGGACCATTATTTGGTAATAGGTTGAACCAAGAATGTAGAGTACTTAATCATAAACTGGAAATAGGTTAAATGGACTATAGTACAGTATGAACTGAAAATACCTTAAACCGTTAATTATTATTATGTTTACCATTAACTGTAGTTATTTTGAGCCTTTAACTTTAACTGTAAATTATAGGAAGTTATTTGAGAGCTCAGACATAAAATTTTAAATTAGCCATTTTCTGGTATTTTTTTAGTTTTATGGCTTCTTTCTCCTGGTATTTTTTAAATTTATTTCTAGCAATCTGAAAATTGCTTATGCAAATCAGCATACCTATAACAATAATTACTGACAATTTGGCTAGCATAGCAATCAGGTATATTTGCATAAGATTATGATTCAGTTTTGAAAGAATGAAAGTATAAAATATGTATCATTAAAATACATACTTGCAATATATTAGCATGTGTATAAAAATATAGTTTACAAAATTGAATTACACAACAATAGAAATAAGCTAAAATATAACTGCTCATTCCAAGAGCTGAATTTTATTTAAAATATCATGTTTGATATACCCTCACTTGTAAATTAAATTGCATTGATTATTATTATTATTATTATTACCTTTGTTGTTTAATTCCACTAAATATACCCTCCATACATTAGAAAAGCAGAATTAACATACTCATGAAACGTTCTTAAATCATTTTCTTACAAGTTTCTTGGCTTTGTTTTTACATCCTCATGTGAAAAATCTGTAAACTCTAGTTTTCTTGTATTATTACATTACACATAATCACATTACATAACAAGATTCTAATGATTTATTACAGCTTGTCTTGACCAAAAATATTTAGTAGAATTAAATCACAGCTTTTATCTCATTCTGATTTGGTATTCTACAGAAATACATAGCTTTGAGATTCAAGATCTCCAGTATTTAACTCACAACAGAAATTGATTTCTCTTAATAAAATTGAAATTATACATTGTGTCCATGTGTAATTTACAGATATTAAAGCTTACTACTATTATAGTATATAAAGAAAAATTATTCCATGCATAATTCTTATTTTCATTCTCATTCCATAACGCTTAGTTTTAAAATTTTGGAGACTCTGTAGAAGAGTTTGCCAGAATCTGTAAAGTAAAAAAAAAAAAAAAAAAAATACTTTAAATGTTTTCATCATAACCATCTAAACCAGGGGTTCTAAACCGGTAGTACGCAAGAGAAAAATAGGTGGTACCCAAAAAAGAAGTATTTTTTAACTATTAAATTAAAAAATCTCGTGAAGAAAAAAAAACTGACAGAAATTTCCTGTGATCGAACTGGAACTGAAGATTTAAAAAATAATACACTTGTTAACTTTTGTCTGAACCGAAAAATAACTTTAAAGCCATTTCAAATAAAGCTATTAAATTTTTATTAAATTTTTGCACAACCTATTTGTGTGAATAAGGATTTTCTTCCACGTTATATTTAAAAATTAAATACAGAACAAAATTAAAAGTGGATCCTACTTTACGGTTAAAACTAAGTGAAATAAGACCAGACACAAAGAAATTTGCCTCTCTCAAACAGGCCTCAAATTTCTCACTAAATTTTAGAATTAAAGTATTATAACTTATATTTTGATAATAAAAATGGTAACCCATTTTTAATCTAAAATATTTTTATGTATGCATATTTAATACAAATAACCAATAGGTTGTGCAAATGGCAAAATATATTTATTTTAAATATTTCTATTGAGAAACTGAAAAACAATCATTGTAAAATGGAGCGGTGGTACTTAAGTTATTCAGTTTTTATTTAGATGGTACGCGTTAATCGAAAGGTTAAGATTCGCTGATCTAAACCATAAAGTTTTTTTAATTTTCATTTATGGTAATTTTTTATTTAAGATATGTTAAAATGCATTATGAAGCATGATAAATTATAATAGTTATGTACCTATACAATAAAGAAAATTTTCCAAAGCTATTCAAATTGTTCAATACTATAAACTAAATGCTAGATATATACTAACTGCTAGATAAGAAACTTGATTACTTAAGGAATATTATATGCTGAATGTTACTCAGACATACATATAAGCATACTTTAATAAATTATAATATTTATATTCTGTTTAGGAAATTTAATTTAACATGAATCTGCTCATATAACCTGTCCAATGATTATGTATATTTTATACACATTTTAATCATTATTTTTCAGAATTTAATAACAAGTACTTCTGAATAATTAGCATACATTATTATGCTTATATAGAAATAGGATTATTTTTCTAACTTGAAAACATTAATTGTGTAAAATAATTAAGATAATGAGAAAAGAAGTTGTCAACGAGGGAAGAAGAAAATTTACTTGTAAAGACGTGTGATATTTACCATTACTTATAATATTGACAAAAAAAATTTTGTAGGTTCACATTCTGGAGAATTTCAAATAATAAATCTCAGAAAGCACACATGTGTGCAGTAGTCATTTTAATACAGTTGTGAAAAGTTTTCTGAGATTCCTATAGGATATTTAACAACATCGTGAAACCCAAATTTAGAATTTTTTATTTAACGATTTAATTGCGATAGACTTATATATTTAAACAGTTCTTGCAGTTCATAATCATTAGAAGAGAGACACAAAAATTAATGGTACTCAACATTAGATGTATGATTTCTCACACTGTTGGCTGTGTGGGAAATGGAACGGGTGGTAATTTGTTGGCCCAGTATATCAATGCCAATCACAGTGTTTGTGGGCACAGTGGTCTGACAAGAACAGTGTATCAAGCTCAGTGACGGTTGACCTCCTAGTGCACCACTTGGTGACTGCACTCTTTGCCTGGCTGAGTTTCTTGGGCTTGTTCTGATGTTATTGTCAGACAAGTGAGATAAGTCACAACACATATGCTGATCCTGCATGGATGTCGAAGTAGTCTTGACGTGACCAGGTTACGCAGTCACAACCGGTGATTGAAAATCTTGGGAGTAGTCTCAAAACAACATCTTTTAGACACTGTTTCGAGTTGTATTTCAACATCATTGGGAATCAAAAAAAAAAAAAAAAAAAAAAAAAAAAAAAAAAAAAAAAAAAAAAAAAAAAAAAAAGCATTAATACACAACTACATAAAATATCATGCATTATCTAAACTATTAATTTAATATTTTTTTTTTTTTTTTATTATTCTCATCCTCGTATCATGACTGATGTTACTATTTATAAGTCATAAAAAGTATGTAATATCATTGTAACATATGATAAAGATAACAAAAGCATCATAATATATTAAATTTAATTAATAAAAAATTAAATATTCATTTTAATTGGTAACATCAAAGTGGCAACATTCATTTTGATTGGTAACATCGAGGGGCTTCATTTTACACATGGGGAAAACCAAGTATGCAGGCAGTCCGTTTGCATGGATTCAAACGTGGGTCGAAATGCCAGTGTTAAACAGTCTCAACCATACCATTACTGGTAGTAATATATAACATAATAAAGTTTTATTTTCTAATTAATAACTAACTATAGAGGAAATAAAAACATAGTAAAAAAAGGAAGATGCATTAAAAACAATTTTTGTCAAATACTGGGCTGAATACCAAATGTATGGCTGGCTGAATATCAATATTTTGATCTATTCAAGATTTTATTTTTTAAAAAAGGAGACGATATTTTCCGACTATCCCCGAACCTACCAAAGAAGCACAAAAATGTACGGACGAAGCAACGCACCATGCCAAAAAGTACTTACGTTCCAATGTGTTTATGTACTTGTTATGAAAACGTGTCGGTGCTGGTAGAGCATACAGTCCAAAGGTACTCAACAAATGACTCAAGTAGCACATGAC